GGGTCTCGTCACGAAATCACGAAGATCATTTTTAGATTTCACGAGTCACGAAAAACAAAATTTCATTTTCACGATTTTTAGAAACACAGAAGCGTAACAAAGTTGATCTGAAACCATTTAACAATTTTCTAAACAGCAGAACTCGATGTTAACACAAACACATTTTACTGACTTTAATTAACATTAGAACTTTTAAAAGACTATGGAAATCATTGCGAGGCATTACCGAACATCAGTGAGAGTCTTACGATGGTTCACGAAGAGATACGAAGGTATACAACAACGACGTTTACCTTAACCTTAATATTAAATTTGGGCCGAGTTTTAAACGTAAACATTCACAAATTAGAGTAAAATATTGGTAAATTCAAGACCTTAGCTAGCCCTGTTAGCTCTTCACGATTCACGGCACTCATATTCATCACGATTCACGGAATGGTATTTCTTTAAATCACGAAGCACGAATAATTGCTAATCACGAGTCACGAAAATACCCTTGCCCCCCCCCCCCTCCACGATACCAACACAGTCTTACACATTAGTATCCGGCAACACTGATCTTTTTGAAAATTAGGGCGGGACCGTTCCAGAGAGCGTTCATATTATATATGCACTTTAATTGGTTGATCGTTTTTAACTATGACGTCCATGACTACATAGTTCAGCCTTTTGAATAATGGTAATGTGAGTTTGCACATTTGTTACTGTCGTTGAGAGCGAAATTTGCAAGATTTTTTGTGAAATTATGTGGTATTGTAACGCATATTAACTTCATTACTTTCAAAATGTACGAAAGTTTACCCTTGCCTTGTGGCAAATGTTCACGGCTTACGTCGGTCGGGTCGGACCACATTGGCATTGAGTCTGTGATTGAGAGCATATATACACTATGATATAGAGTACATAGACTTTATTTTCTCACGCTGGCCCCAACAACCTTTCGGTATTGTTCAACTGACCTTTCTGAGTAATAAACTATTTACAAAATATTAAAAAGGAGAGTTTGACAAAAAAGCGAAAAGACACTGTTGCATTGCCAAATTGCATGCATGGCTAACGAGCCAGTTTCAACTCATTTTTGTTTGAAAATCGTTTTCGCCTCGTGTGGAAGCACCTCTTGCCGAATTCTTTCTTCGGAATAGGAAGAACTAAATCAGTTTCTTTATTTCTGAGATTGTAAAGGTAATTATATAAGTATTTGCTCTAATTTCCTTATTGGAAATAAAAACTTCTTTTAGATTGGGTACGGTGTGGCCGAGGTTTCCAATTTAAGTTTCTAAGCAAGTCAGCGGATCGAACATCATATGTTGCCCCAGTAACTACTCGGCTTGCAGCACTGTCGATTTTTATATTTTTGGAGCCCGTCTTTGAGGCCAATTTCGCAATTATCCCATAGCGGGCTACAGTAATCAAAATATAAGGCTGCACAATAGCATTGTACAGTATTTTTAGTGTCGGTAGTGGAACAAAAGACTTAACTCGTCGCATTGCACCAATACCGCAATTAATTTTGATCGCACAGGAAATAGGCTCAATTTATGGCATAGTAACTCCTAGTACAGCGCCTAGGCACGATCCTCAGACTCAGTGGTATGTCGTAGTCGGCAAAACATGAATTGGATATAGGAAGGAACTGAAACACTTTTGGGAACAGAAATATTAATTAGTGGTTGAGATTACTCGCCAAAATTTCACCCC